TTGTATTTTTAGTAGAGACGGGGTTTCACCGTGTTAGCCAGGGTGGTCTTGATCTCCTGACCTCGTGAGCCTCCTGAGTTGGCCTCCCAAAGTGCTGGGATTACAGGTGTGAGCCACTGTGTCCGGCCTGCCTCTGCCTATTACTTTGTTTAGTTGTTTGTTGTCTGTTTTCTGGATAAAATGAGCTTCATGGAGGCAGGGACATTTGCATTCCCATTTCACAGATCGGGAAACTAGAAGGAGGCCCAGCACAAAGTAAGTTCTCATGGTTTCCGGACTATTTGTTGAATGAATATGCAAATCCGTTTGTCTCAAGTGGCAGAGAGTGCGCCGCCCCGCCCCCTGGTGGAGAGTGGAAAACGTGTCCGCCGGCGTGATCATCAAATTTCCTGGGAGACCTTCAAGTCCACCCTTACCCACTGCGTAGAAGCAGAAATTAACTCCATTCCACAAATACACACAACATACTTTTTATGATTATGATTTTTATGATGAACTTGTAAATTTTATTTTTTGATTTCTCGGGACTATTGTTTAAGCTGGACTCCCCGTCTCCACCCGCCCTGTACCGCCCAGGCCGCCAGAGCAGAAGCCAGTCTCGAACCTCCAGACGTCAGGTGATCCACCTGCCTCGGCCTCCCAAAGTGCTGGGATTACAGGCATGAGCCACCATGCCCGGTGGCTCTCAAGATTTTTACTTCGTTTTTTTTTTTTTTTTTTTGAGACGGAGTTTCGCTCTTGCTACCCAGGCTGGAGTGCAATGGCGCGATCTCGGCTCACCGCAACCTCCGTCTCCTGGGTTCAGGCAATTCTCCTGCCTCAGCCTCCTGAGTAGCTGGGATTACAGGCACGCGCCACCATGCCCAGCTAATTTTTTGTAGTTTTAGTAGAGACGGGGTTTCACCATGTTGACCAGGATGGTCTCGATCTCTTGACCTCGTGATCCACCCGCCTCGGCCTCCCAAAGTGCTGGGATTACAGGCTTGAGCCACCGCGCCCGGCTTTACTTCGTTTTTGGTTTTCATCTTGACTATATGTCTGGCTATGTTTTTTTTTCTTACCACTTTAAGGTGGTTAAAATGGTCTGCGTGTGGTGGCTCATGCCTGCAATCCCAACACTTTGGGAGGCTGAGGTGGGCAAATCGCCTGATGTCAGGAGGTCAAGACCAGCCTGGCCAACATGGTGAAACCCCATCTCTCCTAAAAATTCCAAAAAATTGGCTGGACATGATGGTGCACGCCTGTAATCCCAGCTACTCGGGAGGCTAACACAGGAGAATTGCTCGAACCCAGGAGGTGGAGGTTGCAGTAAGCCGAGATCGGTGCTGCTGTACCCCAGCCTGGGAAACAGAGCAAGACTCTGTCTCCAAAAAAAAAAAAAACACCAAAAAAAAAAAAATCTATCTATTTCCCTCCCTCCCTCCCTCCTTCGGTGTCTCTATGCCAGGCATGGTGGCTTACGCCTGTAACCCCAGCACTTTGGGAGACTGAGGCGGGAGGATCACCTGAGGTCAGGAGTGTGAGACCATCCTTGTCAATGTGGTGAAACCCCATCTCTACCAAAAATACGAAAATTAGCTGGGCGTGGTAGCAAGTGCTTGTAGTCCCAGCTACTCGGGAGGCTGAGGCAGGAGAATTGCTTGAACTCGGGAGGCGAAGGTTGCATTGAGCTCAGGTCATGGCACTGCACTCCGGCGTGGGCGACAGAGTGAGACTCTATCTCAAAAAAAAAAAAAAAAAAATTATGGGCCAGACGCCTAGCTCATGCTTATAATCCCAGCACTGTGTGAGGCCTAGGCGGGTGGATCATGAGGTCAGGAGTGCAAGACCAGCCTGGCCAAATTGGTGAAACCCTGTCTCTACTAAAAATACAAAAAATTAGCTGGGCATGGTGGCACATGCCTGTATTTTCAGCTGGTTGGGAGGCTAAGGCAGGAGAATTGCTTGAACCTGGGAGGACAAGGTTGCAGTGAGCCGAGATTGTGCCACTGCACTCCAGCCTGGTTGAGAGAGTGGGACTCTGTCTCAAAAAAAAAAAAAAAAAAAAAAAAAAAAAATATATATATATATATATATAGGCGTGGTGGCTCACACTTTAATCCCAGCACTTTGGGAGGCTGAGGTGGGTGGATCACAAGGTCAGAAGATCAAGACCATCCTGGCTAACACAGTGAAACCCCGTCTCTACTAAAAATACAAAAATTAGCCGGGCGCGGTTGTGCATGCCTGTAATCCCAGCTACTCGGGGGGCTGAGGAAGGAGGATCGCTTGAATACAGGAGGCAGAGATTGCAGTGATCTGAGATCGCACTACTGCACTCCAGCCTGGGCAACAGAGTGAGACTCTGGGTCTCAGAAAAAAAAAAGGGGAGGCTGGGCGCGGTGGCTCACGCCTGTAATCTCAGCACTTTGGGAGGCCGAGGCGGGCCGATCACAAGGTCAGCAGTTTGAGACCAGCCTGGCCAATATGGTGAAATCCCGTCTCTACTAAAAATACAAAAATTAGTCTGGTGTGCTGACGGGCACCTGTAATCCCAGCAATTTGGGAGGCTGAGGCAGGAGAATCGCTTGATCCCAGGAGGTGGGGGTTGCAGTGAGCCGAGATTGCGCCTCTACACTCCAGCCTGGGTGACAGAGGGAGGCTCCATCTCAATATATACACAAATATATTTTTTTCTACTGAGAGAAATGAGGGGCTAGAGGCGGAAATAGCTTGAACAAAGAGGTAGAGGCCAGGGAGGGAAACGGTGTCTCCTTTTCCTGGGTGTTGGTAATTCAGGCAGGAGCTTGGATGAGCTTCCAGAACACAAGTGGGAGTCAGGTGGCCCCGCTCCCGCCTCCACCGCAGAGGCGCGGCCTCTTTAAGGCTCCCGGAAACGGTCCCACAGGACCGGAAGTGACCCTCTTTATTTCCCTTCCTCACGTGGTGCGGGCAGGAAGTGACGCGCGCGGCCCGGGAGCTGCGGACGCAGAGGCCGACGGAGCCGGAGTCGCGGACGCCGCGGGGTCTCCGGGACAGGTGACCGCGGGGAGGGGGCCGGGAGCGCGCCCAGGAAGGCGGGGCCTGAAGCCCCACGTGGCGGGGAGCGCCAGCTGGAGCGGGCGGGGTAAGGAGCCGCCGGCGGGGGCGGGGTCGGAGTACTCTGCGGGGGGCGGGTACAGGACGCCCACTTCGGAAGCTGGAGAGGCGCTGGCGGGGCGGGCGGTTGCGGGGGTGGGCAGCGTCGGGGCGGGCCAGGGGCGGGGCGGGGCCAGAGCCTGGGCTGGCCGCTGGGGGGGGGGCCGAAAAGTTGTGTCTTGGCTGTGGGCGGGGCCAAAGTGTTGCTCGGACAGCTGTGGGGCGGGGCCGGGACGCGGGAGCGGAAGCGCTGTGGGCTGGGCTAGAAAGTTTTTCCTGAGCTGGAAGTGGGTCCGGATTGTTGGCCGGGACGTCGGGGGCGGACCTAGAGCCTGACGCCGGGAGGGGGCGGGGCCAAAAGTAGTGGAGAGCCAGGGGGCGGGGCCAGGATGCTGGCAGGGAATGCTGGGGGTGGAGCCAGAAAGTTTTGCCTGAGCCAGGGGCGCGGCCAGAGCGTTGGCGGGGAAGCGAGGAGCTGAGCCAGAGCCCTGACTGGGGAAGCCAGGGGCGGGGCCGGATACTGACGCAACAAGCCTTGGGAGGAAGTCAGGGGGTGTGTCCAGAAAGTTGGCCAGGCCAATCGGAGGCGGGGCCAGAGGGTGGACTGGGCAGGCCGGGGGCGGGACTGGAATAATAATGAGAGGTGGCGGGGGCGGGTCTAGGCTGTTGCCTGGGAGCCAGGAGGTGGGGAAAGAGGGTGGCTGGGAAAGTCGGGAGCCGGGCCAGATTAATGGTCCATGGGTGGGGGCGGGCCAGATATCTGGCGGGAAAGGCTGGGCCAGAAAGTTTATCCCTCAAGCCGGGGCGGGGCCAGAGCGGTTTCTAGGATGTCGGGGGCGTGGCCCTGGCATTCCCAGCCAGATTGAGGCTGGAGATTTGTGCAGAGAATCTGGGGCGGGCCTGGGAAGTTTTGACCTTGTTGCTGGTGGAGTATTCACTGGGGCAAAAAGTCAGTTCCAGGAAGCCTCGCCAGTGAGTTCTGGGCCTCGGTGCAGAGAATACTTTTGGGAGAGGCGGGAGGCTGTCGCCCTTCCTTAGGGTGCTGGAGACGGGCCTAGGACGTCCCTTGGGAAGGCGCGGGCTTGGCATGTTCTCTGAGAGCTTGGGCAGCCAATAAGAGTGGGGTTCAGAATTTCTTTGGAGCATGAGATTGGGAATGTTTCTGAACCTTACGTGGTGGAGCTAGAATGTTTGCCTGGATATGAGAGGCACCAGGATGAGCACGGGGAGGTGGGTTTGGAACTTTCTTGTGCAGGCTGGTTTAAGGAGATGTAGTTGGAACTCTCTTGAGTTAAGGAATTCGGGCTAACACTCATACTACAGGGTGTGGAGGCTGGGCTAGAACCTGTGTTTGGAGGAGAGCAGTGTTGGATACTTAAGCAGTGGGTGGGGGCCAAAGCATCTCCAAGGTGGGTTTGACTAGATCGTTTACATGGGAACTGGGTGAGTCCACAAAGATCATGAAAGAGCCGAGTCTAAATTTCTTTAGAGGTGGGAGCTAGCAGTTGAAGAAGAGAGGGAGAGTGAAGGCTAGAATTCTCTTGGGGTACAGGATTTTGGGTGTGCCTGTAAGAATGAAGTGGGTTGGGGGGAGGCTGGCCTTAGTCCTTCTTTTCCCTCAGCACCCAGGAACTCTCAGTGCTGCATCCAGATTCTGCAGGAGAGGTTTGCTGTGACGTTGGGCCTACCCAGCCAGCCAAATGGTGAGACTGAAAGTGGGGTCTGTAGCACACCTGTGGGTGCTGCGCTTTGGGGAAGGGGGCTCGGGAGGATGGGCTCCAGGGAGCAGACTCTCAGACCCTGGGGGAATGTCCCTGGTGTGGATGGAGGTTTTTCCTTCCCTCCCTCAACTGTCTCCCCGTCTCAGGCAGCCGCACTCGATTTGAAATCAAAGGAGGAGAAGGATGCTGAGTTGGACAAGAGGATCGAGGCTCTTCGGCGGAAGAATGAGGCCCTCATCCGGCGCTACCAGGTGCCCTAGCCCCGCCCTGGGAGACCCCATCCCCTCTCTTCCCCGCAGTGAGTTTTTCTCACCTTTCCCTTCCTTAAAACCTTTTCATGATTCCCCATCACTGTCAGGATAAAAGCCAAAGGCCTTAGCCTAACATCCCTTCCTTCATTCTGTTATTCATTCATTCATTCATTTGTTCACAGATATTCCCCAAGATCTTTACGGTACCTGCCTCTGTGATGAGGGGTGCCGGGGCTACAGCCGTGACTGAGGCAGACCCAGGCCTGCCCTTCAAGGGCCCACCATCTAGTCAGGGAGACAGTCCTGTCCTCAGGGATGTCCCACAGTGGACAAGTCTGGAATCAGGAAATTCAGGGGTCTGTGAGAGTCCAGAGGAGGCTCCTGACCCAGCCTTGGGGATACCAGGGAGGGCTTCCTGGAGGAGTGGACGCTGAGGCTTGAGTGGTGAGTAGATAATAGCCAGTTGAAAAGGAGAGGGGAACATGTTTCAGGCAGAAATAACAGTTTGCGCAAGTGTTGGAAGCAGGAGAGAGCTTGGAGCTTCAAGTTGGAGGGTCGTTTAAGGAGCGAATTGACCTCGGCGGGTCAGTAGGGGCCAGGCTGTGCAGGACCCTGAATGCCACCAGGCTGAGTTTGGACTTTCTCCTGAGGTCACTGGGGAGCCAGGGAGGGCCTTGAACAGGGGTGGGACCCGTCAGAATAGCTCTTCAGGGAGATGCCTCTGGGTGCTGTGTGGTGGTAGGTGGGAGGTGGTGATACTGGAGCCCAGAGACCAAGGAGGAAGCTGGGGCTGGAACCCTAGTGGGAGAGGAGGTGCCTGGCTCAGGGCAGGGCTGCTGAGGGGGACTTAGTTACTGATGGGCTGTTGCGGGCAGCGAGAGGACGAGGGCGCATTTAGGACAAGGCCCCTGAGTAGGTGGTGTGGCTGTCCCTGAGATGGGATCTGGGAGGAGGCATGGGTTTCATTTATTCACTCTTCATGTATTCATTCATTTTTAAAAAAGGCATGTTGAGTTTCCGTTGTGGGCCAGCAGTGTTCTAGGTATGGGATACATGTCAGTGACATACATCACTGAAAGCAGACAGACATCCCTGACCCCAGGCAGATTCTGCCGTAATGGAGGAAGCAGACAGTGAGCAAGATGCACACCGTGCTGGGTGTGAATGGGATGAGAACAGAGAGGGTGGCAGGGGAGCTGGTTTCCATGGGGTGCTAGGGAAGGCCTCAGAGAAGGCAGCATTGGAGTGCAGACCTGCAGGAGGTGAGGGGTGGGAGGATCTCTGGGAGGGATCCGCTGGTGCAAAGTCCCCGAGGCAGGTTTGAGTCTGGTATGTTCTGGGAACAGCAAGGAAGCCGGAGTGATCGGAGTGATCGAGGGGAAGTGGGGGAGAGACGAGGTCAGGGAGGTACCAAGGCCAGACCCCATGGGTCCCACAGGCTTTGGAGAAGGCTGTTACTCAGAGCTAGGCACCACAGGAGAGATCTGAGCGGGCCAGCAGCGTGATGGGGCTTGAGGGACATGAGCATTTTCTCCGCCAGAGCCCGGGAGAAAGGCCTGGGCTGGGGCCAGACTTAGGAGGCGTTCAGGGGTCTGTCGGAGTCCGTCTGGCGGACAGGGCAACTGACGCTTCCCTACCCCTGGTGTCTGCTCCTAGGAGATTGAGGAGGACCGTAAAAAAGCTGAACTTGAGGGAGTCGCGGTCACAGCTCCCCGGAAGGGCCGCTCAGGGGAGAAAGAGAACATGGCGTTGGAGGCGGTGAGTTCATCAGGGGGGTGAGGGACCCTGAGGATGGGGAGGGGCAGAGGGTTGAGGGCTGGGACCCAGAAGTCCCCAGCTGTCCTGCACCAGTGGGTGGCCCCCATCCTGGCCACATGTCTCCTGCCCAGTGACTGTACTTTCTTCATCTTCCCTCTTCCAGGAGAAGAACCTGGGTCCTTCCCGGAGGTCTCCTGGGACCCCTCGGCCCCCAGGGGCCAGCAAGGGGGGCCGGACTCCTCCACAGCAGGGAGGCCGCACCAGCATGGGCCAGGCATCCCGCAGCTGGGAGGGCAGTCCTGGGGAGCAGCCTCGAGGAGGAGCCAGGGGCCGTGGCCGGAGGGGCCGGGGCCGCGGGTCCCCTCACCTCTCTGGAGACACGTCCGCTTCTGACCGTAAATCCAAGGTAGGGTCTGGGCAGCGCCTGGAGCCCTGGCCGAGGTTCTCCGTTGTCTGTTCCTACTCCCAGGCGCACAGCTGTCCTGCGGGTCCAGCTTGTGGTATCTCTCTCTCAGCTTCTGCATCTGGCTCTGTTTCTCTCTTCTTCCACCTCCTCCTCTGCTCCTCGGCCTCCTAGTTCCTCCTGTTCCTTCCCTCTCTCCTCCCGCCCGGAGCGTGCGTGTCCTCTCACCACTTTCTCTCCTCCTTCTCCCCGCCGCCTTCTCGTTCCTCCTCGCCTTCCTTCCCTCCCATCTCTTCTAGTGCTGTATGTCCCCCCGTCCCTCTCTCTGTCTCCCTTTTTCTCGCTCTTTGGTGCACGCTTGCCTGCTCAGCTTCTGTCCCCGTCTCTCCTCCCTTTCTGGCACTGTCTGTCTGTCTGGTGGGCTCGCTCTGTCTGGTATGCTTGTGAGCACAGGCTCTATGTGGCATTCTATTTCTGTATGTTTGTCTTAGTTTCTGGCTTTGTGGGAGCAGTGATCTTTTTTTTTTCTTTAATTTTTTTGAGACTGAGTCTTGCTGTGTTACCCAGGCTGGAGTACAGTGGTGTGATCTTGGCTCACTGCATTTCTGCCTCCCGGGTTCAAGTGGTTCTCCTTCCTCAGCCTCCTGAGTAGCTGGAATTACAGGCACTCACTACCATACTTGGCTAAGTTTTGCATTTTTAGTAGAGATGGGGCTTCCCCATGTTGGCTAGGCTGGTCTTGAACTCCTGACCTCAAGTGATCCACCTGCCTCGGCCTCCTAAAGTGCTGGGATTACAGGTGTGAGCCACCTCGCTCAGTGGGAGCAATGATATATTACTGTAACTCCCTCACTTACTCCTGATGTTCAGCTCAGCAGGGTGGCAGGCTGTCTAGCAGAGTGACTTATAGCCCACCATGGACATGGGTGGGACCTGGTCCTGTGAGCCACCTGTCCTTGGGCAGCTGCTGTCCCCTGTGAGCTTCTGGTTCTAGCACCTACAGGGGAATAAAAAATACGAAAATTAGCTGGGTGTGGTGGTGAGCACATGTGATCCCAGCTATTTAGGTGGCTGAGGCAGGAGGATCACTTGAACCTGGGAGGCGGAGGTCACAGCTGAGATTGTGCCACTGCACTCCAGCCTGGGCGACACAGTGAGACTCCTTCTCAAAAAAAAAAAAAAAAAAAAAAAAAGACAAATTGGGCATGCCAAGCTGCTATCACAAAAAGAGTTCAAAATCCCATGGCCTGAGTAGAGTAGGAGTTTCTCTCTCTCTCTCTCTTTTTTTTTTTGTTTTTTTTTTTGAGATGGAGTCTCACTTTGTCAACCAGGCTGGAGTGCAGTGGCCCAGTTTCGGCTCACTGCAACTTCCGCCTCCCAGGTTCAAGCAATTCTCTGCCTCAGCCTCCTGAGCAGCTGGGATTAAAGGCACCCACCACCATGCCTGGCTAATTTTTATATTTTTAGTAGAGATGGGCTTTCACCATCTTGGCCAGGCTGGTCTTGAACTCCTGACCTGACGATCCACCTGCTTCAGCCTCCCAAAGTGCTGGGATTACAGGTGTGAGCCACTGTGCTTGGCTATTTCTCTTTTATATGTTGAGCCCTGCAGGGAGGCGGCTGGTTCATTGGGTGAGGCTCTGCTCCATGATGTCACTCAGGGACTGATACTTGCTTATTTTTTTTTTTTTCTTTTTTGAGACGGAGTCTCATTCTGTTGTCAGGCTGTAGTGCAGTGGCACAATGTTGGCTCACTGCAACCTCTGCCCCCTGGTTTCAAGTGATCCACCTGCCTCAGCCTCCTGAGTAGCTGGGATTACAGGTGTGTGCCACCACACCCAGCTAATTTTTTTTTTTTTTTTTTTTTTGAGATGGAGTTTTGGGCCGGGCGCGGTGGCTCAAGCCTGTAATCCCAGCACTGTGGGAGGCCGAGGCGGGTGGATCATGAGGCCAAGAGATCGAGACCATCCTGGTCAACATGGTGAAACCCCGCCTCTACTAAAACTACAAAAAATTAGCTGGGCATGGTGGTGCGTGCCTATAATCCCAGCGACTCAGGAGGCTGGGGCAGGAGAATTGCCTGAACCCGGGAGGCGGAGGTTGCGGTGAGCCGAGATCGCGCCATTGCACTCCAGCCTGGGTAACAAGAGCGACACTCCGTCTCAAAAAAAAAAAAAAAAAGAGATGGAGTTTTGATCTTATTGCCTAGGCTGGAGTGCAATGGTGCGATCTTGGCGCATCACATCCTCTGCCTCCCAGGTTCAAGTGATTCTCCTGCCTCAGCCTCCCACGTAGCTGGGATTACGGGCATGCACCGCCACACCCAGCTGATTTTGTATTTTTTTATTTATTTATGTTTTTTTTGTTGTTGTTTTGTTTTTTTTTTTTTTTTTTTGAGACGGAGTTTCGCTCTTGTTCCCCAGGCTGGAGTGCAATGGCGCGATCCCGGCTCACCGCAACCTCTGCCTCCTGGGTTCAGGCAATTCTCCTGCCTCAGCCTCCTGAGTAGCTGGGATTACAGGCACGCACCACCATGCCCAGCTAATTTTTTGTATTTTTAGTAGAGACGGGGTTTCACCATGTTGACCAGGATGGTTGCACTCCTGGTCTCAAGTGATACACCTGCCTCAGCCTCCCAAAGTGCTGGGATTCTAAGTGTGAGTGACTGCACCTGGCTGAGTTTGTCCTACCTGGAATTTGTTGAGCTTCTTGAATGTTTAGATGAATGTTTCTCATCAAATCTGGGAAGTTTTCAGCCACTATTTCTTTAAGTATTTTTTTCCTGTTCCTTTCTCTACCCTCTCCTTCTGGTACTACCATTACATATATGTCGATGCACTTAATGATGTCTCTCATTTCTCTGAGGCCCTGTTTCCTTTTCTTCATTCTTTTTTTTTTTGAGACGGAGTTTTACTCATGTTACCCAGGCTGGAGTGCAATGGCGCAATCTCGGCTCACCGCAACCTCCGCCTCCTGGGTTCAGGCAATTCTCCTGCCTCGGCCTCCTGAGTAGCTGGGGTTACAGGCACACGCCACCATGCCCAGCTGATGTTTTGCATTTTTAGTAGAGACAGGGTTTCACCATGTTGACCAGGATGGTCTCGATCTCTTGACCTGGTGATCCACCCGCCTCGGCCTCCCAAAGTGCTGGGATTACAGGCTTGAGCCACTGTACCTGGCTGATTTTGTATTTTTAGTAGAAACAGGGTTTCTCCATGTTGATCAGGCTGGTCTCGAACTCTCGACTTCATGTGATCCGCCGGCCTCAGCTTCCGAAAGTGCTGGGATTTACAGGTGTGAGCCACCGAGCCTGGCCTACTTATTTTATAGAGACAAGGTCTTGCTCTGTCGCCCAGGCAAGAGTGCAGTGGCACAGTTATAGCTCACTCTAGCCTTGACCACCTGGTCTCAGGGCATCCTCTAGCCTCAGCTTCCTGAGTAGGTGGGACTGCAGATGTGTGCCACCACACCTGGCTAACTTTTAAAATTTTTTGTAGAGACAGGGTCTTGCTATGTTGCCTAGTCTGGCCTCGAACTCCTGGGCTTAAGCAGTCCTCCTGCCTTAGCCTCTCAAAGTGCTCAGATTAGAGGTGTGAGCTACCACGTCAGCCTGGAGGCTGGTTTTGAATGCAGGCCCCCTCTGTCTAGTGTGACTGAAATTTCAGACCCCTCAGTAGAAAAGTGAGTGCAGTGTATAGTTGTTCGCGTAGTCTAGGACGGGTGAGCCAGCCACGTCAGTTCACTTCTGACCCAGAGACGCTGAGAGCAAATGCCCACCAAGGACCTGCCTGGCCAGTAGGCCAGTCCAAGGAGAGCCGCCTCAGGCCTGTGGGGTGGCCCCCTCCTGCACCTTCGGCTTAATAGTTCTCCCTGAAGCGGGGTGTCTCTGTCCTTATCCCCCCAGGAGTGGGAGGAGCGGCGCAGGCAGAACATTGAGAAGATGAACGAGGAGATGGAGAAGATTGCAGAATACGAGCGCAACCAGCGGGTCAGTGGTGTGAGTGTTCCCGTGGCGGGCTGAGCCCGGGCCGCGGAGCCCGTGCCAACCCCCTGCTCCCGTGCCTGCAGGAAGGGGTGCTCGAGCCCAACCCTGTGCGGAACTTCCTGGATGACCCCCGGCGACGCAGCGGGCCCCTGGAGGAGCCTGAGCGGGACCGCCGGGAGGACAGCCGCCGGCATGGGCGCAACTGGGGGGGCTCCGACTTCGAGCGGGTGCGCTGTGGCCTCGAGCATGAGCGGCAGGTGGGTGATGGTGGCTGGGACACCCCGGGGCTCTGATGCGGACTGTGCCTGGTGGGAACCAGACAGCTGAGGGCCGTGGGGCCTCTCCTTATTTGTGCCATAGCACACACGATGTTTTTTTTTTTTTTTGAGACGGGGTCTTGCTCTGTCACCCAGGCTGGAGTGCAGTGGCACCATCTTGGTCCACTGCAACCTTCACCTCCCGGGTTCAAGCAATTCTCCTGCCTCAGCCTCCCAAGTAGCTGGGATTACAAGTGAGCACCACCACATCTGGCTAATTTTTTTTGTATTTTTAGTAGAGACTGTTTCACCACGTTGGCCAGGCTGGTCTCAAACTCCTGACCTCAAGTGATCCACCTGCCTTGGTCTCCCAAAATGCTGGGATTACAGGCTGAGGCACTGAACCTGGCTAGGATTTTAATTATTAAGGATTTATTGTATGTTTTGTTGCCTGCTGAGGCAAGTCATTCCTCATTATTAATGACACCAGCATTTGTGAGGCACCTGCCAGGTGGCAGGTGCTGTGTAGAGTGGGGACCTGGCCTGGGAGAGGAGGGAGGGGCAATTTCCTTGCACTTGGTGGTTCTTCTATATTGTCCGTCTGTTGGTTCTTCTCCCAGTAACCATACTGCTCTAGTTGTTACAGCTTTGTGGTATGTTTGAGTGTTTTCTTGTTACTAACATTAGTATTGTTTATTGGGCACCTACTATGTGCCACGCACTGTTTTTTTTTTGTTTGTTTTTGGAGACAGTCTTGCTCTGTCACCTGGGCTGCAGTGCAGTGGCGTGATCTCAGCTCATTGCAACCTCCACTTCCCGAGTTCAAGGAATTGTCCTGTCTCAGCCTCCTGAGTAGCTGGGATTATAGACGGGTGCCACCACACCCAGCTAATTCTTGTATTTTTAGTAGACACAGGGTTTCACCATGTTGGCCAGGCGGGTCTGTATCTCCTGACTTCGTGATCCACTTGCCTCAGCCTCCCAAAGTGCTGGGATTACAGGCGTGAGCCACTGCGCCCGGCTTTTTTTTTTTTTCTTTTGGATAGGCACTGTTTTAGGGGCTGGGGATTAGAGTTTTGAGGCAGAGCCCCTGAGCTGAGTAAATGAAAACATAGTAAGAGGTCCTGCCTCTTACTATGGAGAAAAATCCAGCAGCTGACGGGACGGAGGGATGCTACTTAGGAGATCTGGGAGGGCCTCTCTGAGGAGGTGCCATCTGACCCGACTTAGTTGTCATCTCTGCCTTGTCACCACTCCCCTGTGTGACCCTGAGCAAGTGGATGTGCCTTGGGGCTTAGGGATGGGGTGGGATGTGGGACAGTGCCCTGACCACCTGTGCACTGGGGGGCAGGGCCGCCGAGCTGGCCTGGGCAGTACTGGAGATATGACGCTGTCCATGACGGGCCGGGAGCGGTCAGAGTACCTGCGCTGGAAGCAGGAGAGGGAGAAGATCGACCAGGAGCGGCTGCAGAGACACCGCAAGCCCACTGGCCAGTGGCGGCGCGAGTGGGATGCCGAGAAGACCGATGGGATGTGAGTCCCCTCCCTGCTCTCTACCCATTCCCCTCCCCGCTCCCTTTCCTGCTCTCCTCCCGACTCCCTCCCTGTTCCCCTTCCCGCTCCTTCCCCGTTCCCCTCTCTGCTGCCTCCGCTTCCCCTCCCCGCTCCCTCCCCGCTCCCTCCCCGTTCCCCTCCCCGCTCCCCTCCCCGCTCCCCTCCCCGCTCCCCGCTCCCTCCCCCCTCCCCCGTTCCCCCTGCTCCCTCCCCGCTCCCCTCCCCGCTCCCTC